AGCACAGAGGATCATAGGGGAAAGGAGGGAAAACTGAATGGGAAGTCATCAGAGAGGGAGAAAAATTGTGAAAGATTCTTTTTTATTATTATTACGTTCAAGTAGCCATCATAGAGTACATCATTAGTTTCTGATGTAGTGTTCAAAGATTCATTAGTTTCGTAGAGAGATTTTTAACTATAGGAAACAAACTGAAGGCTGCTGGAGGGGAGGTGGGTGGGGGATGGGGTAACTAGATGATGGGCATTAAGTAGGGCACGTGATGTGATGAGCACTGGGTGTTATATGCAACTGATAAGTTATTGAACACTACATATGAAACTAATGATGTACTGTATGTTTGCTAATTAAATTTAAATAAAAAATTTTTTAAAAAGAACATAACAACAATATATCTTACAACCTTTTCTTTCAAGGGGTTAGAGGTTCAGAAACTTGAACAAGAAGCACTTAAGCAACTTAGTACTGTCAGATATAAAATGGAGAATATAAGGGATGAAAGGCAGTTCCTGGAAGGGTGGAGGTGAGACAGCGTACCTTGGTCCCCAGTGCTGTTGCAAAGGTTCCTTTGCCCTTGGCAGGTTTGGTTTTTTATATAGAAGGTGACAGTATTCCAGGCATTAATACCTCCAGGACAGCTGACATCTTGGGGCAGTATCCTGAACACAACACAGGCAGTCATAATGCACAGCCCAAAATTGCTGAGCTCACAGCACTGTCCCTCCTTGGTTCTCTCCCCAACCCTATACCCTTACTCACAGAGTCTGGAGCTGGGTAAAGCCACGGAAGGTGTTGGCCAAGTCATCCTTGAGGGGGTTTGCTTGCAGGTCTCTGCAAAGCACACACTGTTAGCTGTGTGCTCTAGGAAAACACTCTACTTCCATTCACACATCTTCCTGGGCTGGTAATCCAGTTCTCATTCTGAGTTGTCCAAGTTTGGACATTAATATTCAAACATCTTTTTAGGAGTCCAACCTCAAAGACTTTCCCATCAGCCCTTTATCATAGCTGCCGTTGGGGAGGGAGGATAACCAACCACTTACATGATGACGGCAGTATGTGCCTGAGGAAAGTCTGGACCAGGGTCCTTCAGAGAACAGTTCTGGAGATCCAGCCTGAGGAAACACAGTAATCCGTGTAATTATATGTCTCTCTTCACCAATGGTAAGCTAATATAACCCTCTTTTCAGCAAATATTAATTGAACACAGCTGTGTTCAGGGCCACAAACTAGATGCTGTGGTAGATGTTTTAATTCTGCACTGTCTAGTTCAGTCACCACTAGCTACATGTAGGTATTTAAATTAGGTAAAAATGGGGCGCCTGGGTGGCTCAGTCATTGAGCGTCTGCCTTCGGCTCAGGTCATGATCCCAGGGTCCTGGGAGCCCCGCATCAGGCTCCCTGCTCGGCGGGAAGCCTGCTTCTCCCTCTCCCACTCCCCCTGCTTGTGTTCCTGCTCTCACTCTCTCTCTCTAATAAATAAATAAAATCTTTAAAAAAATAAATTAGGTAAAAAAAATTCAGTTTCTCATTTGCACTAGCCACATTTCAACTATTCAGTAACCACTCACCACGTGATCAGTGGCTACTATATCGGAAAGTACAGATATGGAACATTTCCATCATAGCAGGAAGTGCTATCGGACAATCCTGTTCTAACCAGTGTATCTATGCATCTGTGCATATATTGGAAGAAATTTGTTCCTTGTCTAGGTTAGTGAATCTTCACAATGTAGCATTATGATTCCCAGATCCACAAAGGCCTTCAAATGGGGAAAAAATTCAAGTCCCATAAACGAAAGTTTTTTCCAAGTGCATTTTCTACCACAGACTGAAGACAAATTACTGGATATTAAGGACCATGCCACATTATTTTTCCTTCACTATCTATTGCTGTCTGTTCCTTTATTTTTCAAATACTTACTGAGTGCCTATTTTTTAAAAAGATTTTATTTATTTATTTGACAGAGAGTGAGAGAGCACAAGCAGTGGGGGGTGGCAGAGGGAGAGGGAGAAGCAGACTCCCCACTGAGCAGGGAACCCAATGCAGGGCTGACCTGAGCCAAAGGCAGCTGCTTAACTGACTGAGCTGCCTAGGCACCCATACTAAGTGCCTATTAACTGCGAAAATTGGGAGAATAAAAAGAAAACCCTCAGTATCTCAGTTTTCAAGTGGCTTACAATGTAGTAGAGGAAGACCATCACCAAATATAAAAACAACATAAACATTAAATTATCATCTGAAAGAAATCACAGGACAATACATGAATAATTTTGAGTGGTACAGACACTAAGGGTTAGAAGAAGTAAACAAAGATATTCTAACATTGAGTAGTAGAGAGCATTACAGGAGATGCTGGAATTAAAGGATGGATATGTTTTAATTTGGTGGAGGAAGGAAATTTCAGATAAGGAGACCTGAATGAACAAAGAAACAAAAGCGGAATGCTTTTGGAAAGTAGGCAAGTCTGGCTCAAGCCAGACCCTCATGAAGGGTTTTAGTGGACAAATAGTTAGAAAAAAAATGTTTGAAAGGTGGACTGAGACCAATCTGTAGTGGTTTATGGTTTGAACTTTATCCTGAGGGCAACAGACAATTCTAATTTTAAAACCAGAGAGGGATGACGGGAAAAAAATTGGTTTTCAGATAGTTTCCTATAGAGAAGTATTTAGGTAATTAGGGAGAGAGGAGAATGGAAGCAAGACAGATGACATTTAGGATTCTGAAGTGAGGGTGCACTCAAGAGGAAATGTATAATAGGAAGCTAGAGGTATTCATGTGTACCTTCAGGTTGGAGAGGTGGCCAAGGATACTAAAAGAGATCTAGTTTGGGGAAACACCTGCACGGTGGTTATAGCTGAAACTGTACGAAGAGTGAATCCTCAGAGTGTAAAGGAAGAAAATGCAGGGACTAACCTTCATAAGGGGACAGAATCTGCAGAAGAGGAATCTGCCTCAAAGACAAACATGAATTAACCGGAAGGGAAGAATACCCTATTAATAAATTGCCTCGGAGGCTAAGGGAGCCATTTCATGGAGATATACACTAAGTAATCCAGAGTTGAAAATAAAAGAACAAAACTTCTTTTAAGAGGAAGCCGTAGGGGCGCCTGGGCAGCTCAGTTGGTTAAGTGTCTGCCTTCGGCTCAGGTCATGATCCTGGAATCCTGGGATAGAGCCCCACATCGGGCTCCCTGCTCAGTGTGGGGAGTAAGCCTCTCCCTATGCCCCTGCTCCCGTACTCTCTTGCTCACTGTCTCTCAAATAAATAACCTCTTTAAAAAATAAATAAGAGGAAGTCATAAGGAGCTTTTTTTTTAATGGGCAAAAATTGTGACTTCTATGCAGTTTCAACCAGGAAGAATCACAGGGTTGTTTACCTAGCTAAAAATGCTGTAACACAGATTCATGGTTTGGATGCCCCCAAAACAGGCACGGATATTTATCCCAAAGCCAATCAGGCAAGCCTTTAAGAATCTGGGGGGAGAGGGGGTGCCTGGGTGGCTCAGTGGGTTAAGTGTTGGACTCTCATCTCCACCCAAGTCTTGAACTCAGGGTCCTAAGTTCAAGCCCCACACTGGGCATGAAGCCTACTTTAAAAAAAAAAAAAGGAATCCGGTTTGGGAACTCTTCCAGTATCCAGAGTTGTCTTTTCCTCCCTCACCCCACGATGGTGCCCTCCTGATTCAGGCAGCAGCGGGAGTGCAGCCTTAGCTCTGGTGTCTGCTTACAATAAAGGGTCACTTCTGACAAATCCCGCACACTCCCTGGACACAGCATGCATATCTGCAAAAGAGAAAACTATTAGAATTCCATAAAGAAAAGCCAAGAAAAGAACAAATAGGTAGCAAAAGTTAACTGCCAGTAAGTACACTCTTCAGAATCCCTTTAACACTGGGCAGGTAAGTGTCCTATCTTCATATATCAAGTTTGCCTACGGGATTCATTTCTTCGCCTAGAGCCAGGAGCTAAATCAGCATACTAGAGACTTTCTGCACCAGACCTTGCCCAGGAAAGGCCCTCATCTTTGAAGATCACTATTCGAACATATTTCTTATGCCCTCTCCAGTGACTTCTCAATCTGACAGACCCGGTTTGGCCAGGTATAAAAGCATACAAAGAACTCATCAAGCTTTACACAAGGTACAGTACTGCCAGAGCACGATATACGGCATTGGCGCGTGACGAGCTTGAGGAAGAGCCAGAGGACTCGTCGGTAGCCGAAAAATTTAAAGTTATTCAAAGATTAAGGAACAAGGAGATCAAATTTTAAAGGTCTTCGTCAGCAGGGCGAGGGCACCGGGAGACCTGCGCGGCGTGAGTACTCAAGAGCCGGAGCCGGCTGGGCTACAGCTAGGGAAGCCTCAGGGACCAAATCCGAGCCAGGGCGGGCTGGGGAGAGGGGAGAGCCGAGGACGGGCGAGCGCGAAACAAGGTTGCCCAGCAGCTCTGCTTCAGCCCGACCTCTAACTTGCTTCTGTACCTCGGGTAGCGCCAGAGCCCTTTCCGCGCCCAGAGCGAGGAGCAGGGTCGCTGCCCAAGGGACCAGGAACGAAGGACTGCCCGGCCCGCGAGGAGACATTTTTTGCTCCTTTCGTCCTTCTCAGCGCCTCGCGAGACTTGCGCGTGTGGCTCCGCCCTGCCAGGGCGTGGCCTAGTCGCCCGGTACGGGCTGGGGCTTGCGGCTGCTCGAGGAGGTTAGAGCTCTTCTCTGCGCCCCCCTGTCCCCGTTAGGGCGGACTGGCCAACCCCCTCTCCTTTTCCCCTGTTAGCGAAGGCCTCCCCGCCGCCGCTCTTTCAGCTCCGTATTCCTCGCTTCCGGACGCCGAGGTCGCATCACCGCAGTGGCTCGGTGCCCACTCCGTCCGCCCTCAGTAAACATGGCGGCGCCACGTGAGGCGGCCAGGGGGCGGGCCCTCCCCCCCCGACCCCCCGCCCCCCCGCCGCTGTCATTCAGCCGGCATATGGCAGGGCCGGCTCGGCCACTCCGCTGCACCCAAAGGTGGAGACCCGGCAAATGGGCTGCACCTGGGCGGGCCAGCGCATGGGGGCCAGTACCCAGAGGCTCCCGAGAGTGGCGCGGGGACGGGGAGGGGCAGGGCGAGCTGGTTCCCCGCGTGGAGGCGCGGGAAGATCTGAGTTGAGACCGCGTGGTGTAGTGGTTAAGCTACCTCACGTGTGGAGGGAAGGCGGGAAGCCAGCAAATAAAGAGGGTAAGGGTGATAGAAGAGTGAAGGGCAAACCCCGGCGGGAGGAGACAAGCCTGGGGAGGCTCCGGGCACCCTGGCACCTTCACCTCAGTCCGGAGACCGCGTGGCGGCCGGATCCTTGGTGAGGAGGGAAGGGCGGGGTAGGCGCTTGCCTGCCTTCTCAACTCCTTTTCCTTCCCAGAAAAACGGAGCGATGCTGATCTCAGGACAAACGACTGGACCTTCTTAGCCCTGGCGGAGCCACGGAGGTAAGGGAAAGGCGAGCGCTACCCCAGGGTGGCCCTCGGGAGCCCCACGCCCGGAGGGACTGAGTGTTGCCTTTGATTATAGGGCCAGGCAAAAGCTCGTCAAAGCTGACTCGTCTTGAGTGGCCGGCCCCGGCTTCCCTTCCACACACCGCAGGTATGTGGAATCTCCTTGAAAGGATTTACTTTCAGCTGGCTGGCACGTTCTCTAAGGCGTTGATAGTTCTTAGCCTTTTAATGAGGGTACCGAAGCTTTCAGACCTCGAGGAATTCTAAGCACAAGGGCAGATTTTTAAGGAATCTTTTTTGGGACAATGGGTCCTGCAGTGGCCCCCTTTGCCCTTTGTAGGAGTCAAGGCAATTCAGTGCAGGCTGTCAAAGGGGGTACGGTGGTGTAGAATGATGGTCTTCCGTTTCTGTGTGTGTCATACTTTTAGAAAGGGGTCTCACAGCCCACTATTTTGTGCCCTGTGTGTTACAGTTTTAGTGAAACCACTCTGCTGTTTTGGCTCCTCCTCTCTCAGGGAGATGCAAGTCCATGGGGTTTAGAGCAGTGTAGTTTTTAGAAAGCCACTATCCTGTTCTTAGAATCAGAATCATGTCTGAGGAACACGTTGTTACTGGGTCAGGTTTTTCCTGTCTTGCCTGGCTCTGTCTTCAGCCATCCAGGAAGGTTCTCTACACCTCATGCAAATAGAATTCTATCTAGAAGCTTCACCAATTTACCCCAGCAGGAGAGTTTCCAGTTCTGGATGTCTGTGTTCTAGTCTACACTGAGATCGTTTTTCCTTTCCGTAACCAGCGTAGCCTTATCACTAACCCTTTACAGCTACGCATTCTTATTTGCACACAGCAGACACCTTCTCTTATTCTCCAGTATTTTCCATCACCTCTATCATAGTAAAATTTGCCAAAGAGGAGTGGGAACTAAAGATGTTGCAATGTACAAAGGCCCAGGGCATCTTTAGGTTAAACCAGAGTGGCCTGTTTGGAATACTATTCTGGGTACGAACATTTGTGACTCGTAGAACATGTGATCCTAGAGTTGCCGCCTCTGATTTCCTCTCTTTGTTGGCCCCACGAGGTTCAGAGTTCAGGTTTGGTCTCTGTAAGACCATATCTTGCCAGCCGGGCGACATCTGCCCAAGAACACAGTGTGAGTGAACCAGAAGACAGCCAGGCTGATCTTTCTCCTAGTGGGCAAGAACAGAAGACATAGATTATATTAATGTGTATTTAGACTAGTTGGAATCTAAACTTTGTTCCGTGAATGACTGACTACAATTAACATTCTGCTCCCGCCCTGGTTCTAGGAATAGTAAGGATGGGCCCCTTGGTAAATCACCTGTCCTACCTGCAGATAGCACTCTTTCTTTCTCCCTTGTTTTGTACCATGCCATGTGACCTTAAGGAAGTTCTTTAACTTTTCTGACTCCGTTTCCTTGAGAGCTAGAGAGTGTTCATTTAAAGTTCATAAACAAGAGGTGGTGTTTTTTTTTTTTTTTAAAGATTTTTTATTTATTTATTTGAGACAGAGAATGAGAGACAGAGAGCATGAGAGGGAGGAGGGTCAGAGGGAGAAGCAGACTCCCTGCCGAGCAGGGAGCCCGATGTGGGACTCGATCCTGGGACTCCAGGATCATGACCTGAGCCGAAGGCAGTCGCTTAACCAACTGAGCCACCCAGGCGCCCCAACAAGAGGTGGTGTTTTAAAAGTGATAGCAAAGGGTACTTTTTCATTATCGTTATTAAAGTTTGTAAAGTTCATGGCACAGAGCTGGGTTACAAGAAGTAAGAGCTGAGTTGCTTCACTAAAAAAAAAAGGGGGGGGTGTTCAAAAAGCGTTAACTGTCATCATTTAGGCTATCTGAAAACCTACATACTTAGGTATTTTTTTCTTCATATCAATGAGTATGTCGTGGGTATCTCCTAAAGACATTATGGTATAAATGAAGAGTGGATGGGTGGGGAATCAGTAGACCTGAGCTCTAATCTAGACTGACAATAATCGGCTCTGTGGTTCTGGAAAGATCACTTGAGTCATCTGGGCTTCAGTATCTTTGTTGGTAACTGAGGGGGGTCATGATAGTGATCTCTGAATGTTCCCTTAAGTTTTGAAGTAGCATAATCCTGTCCTTGTTCTGAGGATAATGCTGTATTTCTTTGAGGATGAGTATTTTTGGTGCAGGAGTCAGAAAAGCAACTTTCCCGTTTCCCTGGGCTCCTACTTTGTAATTCCCTCTAGCACACAGTGCCAAGTGTGACTTACAGTGAAAGCCTAATCTAGCTAGGAATGCTGTTGAATGTGAGCTCCCTGTTCCCCACTCTGGAGCCTCTAGGACTGAGCTGGAGTTTGGGGGCCATAGGGTGATAGGGCCATTTGAATCGCATTGATTGGTTCCCTGAAGGGGCCAGAGCAAATAGCTGCTGAGCTTCACTCCGCCCCTAATTCCTGATTTCACCTCAGCTACTTATAGAGCCAGACCCTCAGCTTCTGCTCAGCTCCAGACACACACAGCTTCTCCAGGCAGCACTGCCTCAGAACAGAGATTACTTCTCTAGGTAGGTTCCTGCTCCAGGAGGAGAGGCGCACTTTCCCTGGCTGTTGTTCCCTTGCCCCCAGCTCCCTGGCTGGTTTGCTTCTCTGTATCATAACTCTGAACTCCTGGCTCCCACACATTGCCCTCACACTTTTGAATCCCAGCACTCTCCCCAGATCTGCTATTGACTGTAGTGTTGCTGGGAGAGTTGCTGAGAGATGGGTGGCAGGGCTTTTCTAGTAGTGCTGGGGAGAACGAAGTGGTTGGCCTGGGGATATGTGGAATGGAGTTTGGGGCTGCCATGTAGGTAATCGCACTGGGGATCAGTGCTGAAAAGGGGTCCTGTTAGGAAGGTGACATTGGGAATAGGGGAGATGGGGGCTGAGGCTGGGGGAAAGAGAGGAAACCATGCTGTTATTAGTCTCCCTTTCTTCTTCCCTGCTGGGCTGTGGCGCCAGGCTGGGGTCTGCTGGCTTAGCATGCTGTAGTGACTGGGTCTGTGCCTGCAAGTGGGGGCAGGGAAGTCTTTGAGAAGAAATGTGGGCTAGAGTTGATTTTTTTTTTGTGATTGGGGTGGAGACCTAAGAAGGTTAGTTTTTTGTTTTTGTTTTTTAAGATTTAATTTATTTTAGAGAGGAGGGTGAGGGGCAGAGGGAGAGAGAATCTCAAGCAGACTCCACACTGAGTGCAGAGCCTGACACAGGGTTCGATCTCACAATCTGCACCCCCCAGGCACCCCAAGAAGGTTCTTATGTTTCACAGCTGTGTATGCCCAAAATGATCTTGGACAAGCAGTTGTCACCTGGCTGTCTCACTCTGCTGCTTCCTTCCTCCCCTACCAAATCCATACTAGGACCTCTAGACTTACAAGGGCTGTACAGAGCTGCCTGGTTCAGGTTTGATGGGTGTGGGATATACAGGCCTGAGGATGGGTGCCCATGAAGGCAGGGTAAGCCTGACTAGGAGCTGATTCCTTTGCAGCTCACTTGGACAATGTCACTTGGTGGAGAAGGACTGTGAGATCGTGGCTAGAAGCCAGGTTGTAGCCACCTGCCTGCCACTGCCCAGCTGAGTGGCAGCCCAGAGCCCAGGAGCAGCACGTGGCCATAGGCCACAGACACGGCGAAGATATGAGTGTGGTGGTGAGCACCTCTGCTCCCCTGCTCCCAGCCTCAGACACAAACACTGTCACATCTACCTTCTCCCTTGTGGACTATGTAGTGTTTGTGCTGCTGCTGGTTCTCTCCCTTGCTATTGGGCTCTACCATGCCTTTCGTGGCTGGGGCCGGCATACTGTTGGCCAACTGCTCATGGCAGACCGAAAAATGAGCTGTCTTCCTGTGGCTCTGTCTCTGCTGGCCACCTTCCAATCAGCCGTGGCCATCTTGGGTGTGCCGTCCGAGATCTACCGATTTGGGACCCAGTATTGGTTCCTGGGCTGCTGCTATTTTCTGGGCCTGCTGATTCCTGCACACGTCTTCATCCCTGTCTTCTACCGCCTGCATCTCACCAGTGCCTATGAGGTGAGTGGGGGGAAGAGGAGCACATAGGACCAGCAGGGTCAGGAATAGAAGGAAGGAAGAGCCCATATATGAGGGATCTGGGTCGCTGGACCTCTTCTGCCTAATGAGAATGATGAGACACATTGTGTGTTTCCAAGTTCTTTCTGGGTGAGGTCAGCTGGGAAGAGGAGGGTGCTGTGCTGGGAGGCCCAGAGCAGATACGAGTTGAATATTCCTTCACGTTCCTGGGTTTCTTGAGGGAAGTCGAATTATGGGGTAGAGTGGGGAGGAATACTTTTACTTACTTATATATACGTATATGTGTACATACATATTCCTACCTAGTACCTGGAGCTCCGATTCAATAAAGCTGTGCGGGTTTGTGGGACCTTGACCTTCATCTTTCAGATGGTAAGTAGAAATGAGGGTAGAATTTGAGCTTGAGATATGGTAGAGGGACCCAAACTCTGGTATGTTGAAGGATTCTGAGCTTTTCCTGCTCTCAAACTGGCAAGATTGAAGGTCCCACTAGGGGTCAGTGTCCCTGAAGCCACCAGAGGCATCCTGCTTCCTATTCCCTTCCAGTTGCAGCACAGTTACTATGGTGGCAGCAAGCCAAGATTTGGAAGAAGGGAGAGGGAAGTGAGCCGAGACAAAGGGAGGCCATTAGGTTATTGGAGCTGAGGTCCATCTTTTCCCTTCCCTCTGCCCACCTTCCTTTCCCCTCCCCCTCACGTTCTCTTTTCCATATGCAACAGGTGATCTACATGGGAGTCGTGCTCTATGCACCATCATTGGCCCTCAATGCAGGTGAGGAGTCACAGCCCTTGGCTCTCAGCCACAGCCGACTGGGAAAACACCTTTGGGAGGGGCCGGTAGAGGAGAGTGTGCAGAAAAGAATCCGACCTTGGCCAGGGAGTTACTTCCCTGCATGGACTCCTGACTGGTCTCCGCTGGAGGTGGAAGTGCCTTGGCTCACCTCACCCGAAAGCTAATCAAACATTACCATGTCTTATCTGAACTGGTTAATCAACACCTTTTGGTGGGATTCAAACATTTTTTTTTTCCATTGTGGTGAATGATTTATTTCATCCTTAATGACCAAATGCCTCATGTCTTACTAGGGTTTTTCTGGTTTCTCTGTTGGGAAACCCTCTTCCAGAGACAGGAATGTGGTTTTTATCTGTTTACAGTGACTGGCTTTGACTTGTGGCTGTCAGTGCTGACCCTAGGCATTGTTTGTACTGTCTATACTGCTCTGGTAAGTGTAGTAAGTCTTAGGAGAGGGAGAGGAGATGGGAGGGAAAAGAAAGGAAGGGATGAGGTAAAAATGTAGGTGAGGTGGGATGGAGCTCTGGAGTGGGACGAGACAGGATGTAGGAGACGGGCTGGGACTGATGTCAACAGAGGCTCAGCAGTTATGCCCCTGGTGGCAATATAGTCGCCTGCTGGTGGTAGGTGTGGTGTCTTCACTTGTGGATGGCTTTAAAGACGTCTGTGGCAGGCATGCTATCTTTGCCTTGCAGGGCGGGCTGAAGGCAGTCATCTGGACAGACGTGTTCCAGACGCTGGTCATGTTCCTAGGGCAGCTGGTGGTTATCATTGTGGGGTCAGCCAAGGTGGGCGGCTTGAGGCATGTGTGGGAAGTGGCTTCCCAGCATGGCCGCATCTCTGGGATCGTGTAAGTACACCCCTTCCCCTGGCTGGGGTCTATAGTGCCTGGGGGCCGAGCCCATCCTAGAACCTGAACTCAGGGCTGCAGTAAACAGGACAAGCTGTGGAAGCCTTAGGGGCAGCAGTGAGACAGGTGGGAAGCTGGCACTGCAGAGATGGAGGGTGATCACAGGGATCTGGCTGGTGGGTAAGGAGGGTCAAGATGTTTTTAGTACCTGGCATGAGGCTGTGGGTTGGAGGGATAGAACCCTTCCTCCATCTTGCTGTGCTGTTTCTTGTGTCCACCCAGTTCTTTTTTTTTTTTTTTTAAAGATTTTATTTATTTATTTGACAGAGAGAGACACAGTGAGAGGGGGAACACAAGCAGGGGGAGTGGGAGAGGGAGAAG